CAGTGTAATTCCCTTCTTTTTCTTGTTCATCTCTACTTTATACTATAGAAGAGTAGGTTCATGTTCTTCTAACAAACGTCCAAAGATAACAGCTACTGATGGCAGTGATTTTGGCTACCATTCCATTGGTAGACTCTTCACCAATTTTTTCATTATATTGCTCAATTTTTTCAAGTGGTTAATTATATGCATAAATCTTTAACTCTATTCCTAAAAATCTTTTTGAAAACAAGCTCAATTTTTTTATTTGTACTATTTTAATTAACTTTACAACCACTGAAGGCAGATTGTTTTTGAGATAATAATTAAATTTGCTAAAATCTTATAGGAGTTAATCATAATTAAAGATAAAAGCACTAAGTATTTGTCACTTTAAATTGTGTTTTTGCTTGAAAAGCCTACACCTAGCAAGCAGTTATAAAAAGGGAAATGATCCCATAAAATGAAAAAGAAAAGAAGAAAAAAAATATACATGCTAACTATCCACTCCACTAACTCCAACTAAACTTAGTAACTGAGGCCTTAATCACCAATATTGGTCTTTACATCAAATAGCTAGGTAGGTATCAAGAATGTGCTAGTAACACCATAGGAGAACCAGGTTCCCTAAGTTTGAGTAACTAGGCTCTTGTATGGTGAGGGTTCATGTTAAAAGGACCTAAGAACATGCTAAGCTAAACGTTGATCAAGGTAACCAGGTCCTCGTATATAAGGATATGGAGGTTTATAAGGATTTATTATTGACTATGGAAGAAAGGCAATTCACTTAAATACTAATTAAGGATGACCTTGTAAATGACCTCAAGAGGGGGTGAATTGGGCTGATTAAAAAATAGAGTAAATTTATAGAAGTAATAAGAGAAGTGTAGGAACGAAATCACTAATCATGAAAGATGAGAGAGAAGAGCTTTGCATAGATGGTTTATCCTAGTTTGACTTCTACCACTTGAGTCTGCATCCAGTCCTCAGGAACCTCTTGAGATTTCCAACTATATCATTAGGATTAAACTGGACTCTTAGTTGCCTTAGTACATTAACAGACTTAGCTTCTTAAGAAGTTTGAATCTCTCTCTCTTACAAAGGTAATGCCAACCCCTTAAGCTCTCCGAGCTCAAATTTCTCTATTTTGATGTAGTAAAATAGGGATAACAAAGTAAGTTCAAGAATAAACTATTACTGTTATAAACTCTCTCTAAGAGTAGATATATAATTAATGAAACTCACAAACAATAAATATTTCTCAAAAAGTTGGTAAAAAAATAAATGCACTAAGAATGACAAAGTTTCGTCCTTGTTGGCTTTACTGTTCTCTCTCTTCATTCTTCATAAATAAGTGTATTTATAGTTGAAAGTCATAAATAATCTGTTAGACTCATAAATGTTCTCGTTAGAAGTCTGTTATGCTTTGTCTTCTGCTATTCTCTGAGTTTTCCTAGATAACATAGCTTATTTGAGTTTCTCTAACAATTAAATCAATGTAACGATACTTTAAGGTGGAGGTTTCTCTTTACACAAAGTAATAGCTGTAAACATTAAATACTCTGATAGAAGTAGGTCAAGGTTATACAGTAGTGTAGCAATTTAGCATGGGTGTTATGAATTAAGAAATAGTCATAAAGAGTTTGATCCAAGCAATAATTATGTTTAAATAGATTATAGAAAGGTTATAGAGTGAACACAATTGATTGTGGATGAAAATAATACCTAAGAAAAGAGTTTTAAAGAGTTTAAGATTTGAACACGTAAAACAGAGCATGAAGAGGCATTTTAGTACTGGTGCTTTGTCTTTAGCATAAGTGTTAAGAGAAAACTTGAAACACAACACCAATGCTATTTAGTTAGCACAGGTGTCAACTCATCTTAGAGAAAGGAACCATTACAAAAACTGGATAACAATACCAGTGTTATCAAAAAAGTATTGGTGTTAAACAAGAAGAGAGTGAACGAGACAAAACTTTTCAAGGAGGAGAACAAGGGTAGCACTAGTGCTAAATCTCTATTACTAGTGTTAAATGAACATGGGTTAAAACCAAAAGAGAAGAGATGAAAGAGCAAGATAAGTAGCGCCAGTGCTAAAGGCACAGTACTGGTGCTAAAGATACTTAGGAAAAAATTAAGTTCCAGAAAGTGATTTTTAACATTGGGTCCAATTGGAAATCTTACACAAGGATACTTAAGTATTCAAAAGTCTTATAGATAAGTTAAATACTTAACTAGGATAGAATTTCTTTGAAAGAATAGGATGAGGTATTGGAAAAGATTTTGGACCACATGGTTTGGAATACATAACCTACCTCTTAAGTCAGTTTTAATTCAATGTTTAGCCAATTACCTTATTTATGATTAAATAACCTATGAAATACAATCTTTTTTTTATTTTGTAATCATCAAAACCAAGGTTCAACAAATCTCGTTGTACTAACTTAGAAAAAGAAATAGGTAAAGCTCAAGGGTGTGGACAAATTCATCCCAGTGAGGTGTTTTAAAATTAAGGCATTAAGTTCACTCGCTGTGGAGGCACAAGCAGAGATGTTGAGTTTCTCTCACACAATGAAACCTGGTAGGTGGGTTGAATAGTTAATTCTTATTCAGTGCTGTCAACAAAAATCCTTTTTGTTCTAATTCACTATAAGAAATAAAGCCAAACATAATCAGTATTTTCTTTAGGACAGGCAACAAGATAAGTGTGGGAGGATTTGAGAAGTGAAAATTTTATTTATATTTATTGGCATATTTTACCCATTTATTTGAGCATTATTATATAAATTGAGAGAAAAATAATATAAAATTGCCCACTTAGTAAATTTGGTGTGTTTTCAGGAAAAGGGAGCAACAAGAGGTAACGAGAGGCCTAAAAATGCAAGATCAGAGTCGAAGCTATAGACACAATGCATAAGGCTTCTCTCTATTCATGGATGTAACCAAGGCGAGAGAAATCATGCTCTCTCTTAGTCGCCATTCCCAGAAAACGTCTGAAGAACTCTTCTCTCATGGACAAGCAACCCTGAGATAAGGCTAAGAGCTCTCTGACCCAACCATGCATGGACAAGCTCAAGTGAAATTCTTCTCCACTTGCGGTCATCCCAGGCTCTAACATTCGTCCCCGTGCGGAGACCAAATAGAGAAAAGCCCACTCGACAATTGACCATGCTCGGACATCTTTAAAATAAGCCCAACCACGTGCAGATGTTTGCAAAAGACAAGTGGAAAGCTTTGATTTAAGACCCAAATGCAATTTAAATAACATCTTTTCAAACGAGATAAGATAAGAGATGCAATTTACCTGATTTAAGGGCAAAAAGGGCACGGAAAAGCTATAAATTAGCCTTCAAGAAATCTCCCAAGGTATCCAATCACATATACTCAGAGTAGAGGGGCATCACGGAGGCTCGAGAATGTCACGTTTGATTTGGGATTTGAAATTCCTCCTTTGATTTTTTTCATCTCTATGTATTTTCTGAGATTGTTTTTAATCATGTTTATTTCTTTCTAAATTGCTCGTTAGGGTAAGAAGTAGCTTGACTGAGATGTAATTTATTTATTTTGAATTTTATTCCTATTGAACATATGAATTTGTTAATTATCATTTATTTGTTCCTTTTATATCTATGTCCTTTGTTTTTATTCTTATCATATCTTTGGCCACCGTATGGTATTTCTGTGGGACTGTTCAAAGAACTGAGAAGTGAAGAATGGGCATAGACCTAGATATACTTGAATAACTGAATTAGAGATAGTTTAGGAATTCAAAGCACTTTTAATCATAGTTTCACGGTTTATATAGGGTCATAATTGGATTAGCGAGAGCTAATTTAACCTTAGATACAACCTAATACATTGAGAGGAAATTAGGGTGCTTTCGTAACAATTGTGCTATAATTGAGCATGAATAATTGGATAAATAAGATTGGGTATCCCAGGTGAACCTTGAGCCCTTCGTGTTTGTTGATTGGAATATTTTCTTTCGCATAACTGCTTTGGTTATTTAATTCAAAATATTTTATTTGTTTCTTTAAATAACAACGGTTATCTCTATTCTCCTCTAGGTATAACTTGGATACTTTGGATTTTTACTACATCAAATCTGTGGACTTGCAGAAGCAATCAGTGAGCCAATGAATATAATTAAAAAAAATGTCAATTTATTAACAATCAGTTTCCACTGGGAAATCCTCAACCATTGTCTCAGCCAGTTTAATTACTTGGTCCAACCTTGCGATTCACAACAATAAGAGAACCTAATTTCATGAAATTAATCAATTATTGATGGATGAGTAAAATAGTGACTTTGTGAATTTAATATTCTTATATCTAATTTAAATAATCAATATCTAAGTCACTATTAAATACTTTTTTATCTGAATAATTTTTTGTAAATATAAATTTCCAAACCAATTGCTAGAAAATAATTTAATTTGGATAGGTTTTTAAATTAGAGGGGTAGGCACTGAAAGTGTGAAATTACAAGCGAGATTGAACTAACGACCTCCCATTTACAGGAGAGCTTGCATCATTTCATGACACTAGGCTATAAGACCATTGGCATTAAATTGGGTAATTTTTTTTATCTATGAAAAATTCAATCATTCTTGTTAACATTCAATAATTAAATAATTTAACCATTCATTCCTATGTCTATATATGTTTGGTTATATATTCTTTCTTGTAATTAACTTTATCTAAGTTCTCATATTTCTTTTCCATTTTGTTTGACTATAAAATTTTATTAATGATTAGAAATCGGAATTGAGAAAATATCCAAATTTATTTTCCTCAACTCTCTTTATTTTATATATAACAAGAGGAGCAATATGCAGATTTCTTGCACCATGACAAGTTGTTCAGTGGTATCAAGTGGAGCAGCAGCAAGATAATAAAATAATGAGATATTTTAACTGGGGACGCTCGATCAAGTAAATTAAAGAATTAATATTAAGCATGATGCCCTGGTGGACAAGTAAAAGTAAAAAAGGTAACAAAATATCCCAAAATATCTCTATATGACTCTCATTTCGTCTAACACCTCAGTGAGAGGAATTCCTAGTCAGATTCAGCACTGGGAGAGTTTTGAAGTGTATGACCCTGAACTTGAAGATGTGGACCCAGAAGTTCCAATATTCTCGTTTTGATCATTGTTGGAATCTACATGAGACTGCAAGAAGCCAGTGTACAGCGTATCTACTCCACATACGTTTGGAACTGAATTCATCAATGAAGGTGTGTACGTGGAGTTTTGTGGAGATCTGCTGATCTGGAATACAAAATGTCGATTCTCCAGTTTTACGCCATGTAAAAGGAACTCAGTTATTCACTCCTGCCAATTTATAAAGTCGTCATGTGTAGAGAACCCATTATACTCAGTGTTCTGTTTTTTTTTTTTTTCCATAAGAAATATAATGTGTGTTCTAGAAACAGTTTTCATACAATATCTTTACAAGTGGACGGGTCATTGCTACTATGAGATAAAAGGTTAAGTGATATAATTAGAATCAAATATTGAGACAACAAATATACATCATCATCATCATCATCATAAAGAAAATTCCTTGTCCCACTAATTTTATGTGGGTCCATCTTTCATTGTATGCTTATTTACTACCCCTTTCATTTCTCTTTGTAGGAGGAAAAAAAAAACTGTATCATACAGTTTAAGAAAATCAATTAACTATAATAATTGTGTTTGAAAATAAAAAAATCAGACTATAATACCCTTTAGTAATTGTGTTAATCAAGCATTCATTAATTATTTCTTATGACTATGAATGATAAAATTATGAGGGGTAATTTAAAAATTTTGCAATAAATGCCTATTAGAAAATGTGATTTTGCTTATAAAAAAACAAGTTAAAAGTGGTAGTTTGCCCTATAAATAAAAACGGAGGGAGTATGTTTAAGTTGTCTGCAGATGCCTTTTGCAAGAAAAATCTCATCAACTCATAAGGCAATCAAGTAATTTCCCAATAGCCTAAATCATCCTATAAATTGCTCGTCCTGATGAAGTCTTGAATATGCACTTCAGAAATTTCATACAGGTGCTTTGCTTCACATTCCTCAGCTTCAATGGCGAGCAAATTACGAAATAACAAGACTTGGGTGGCAAGTGTGGTGTTCTGCTTCTTGATGTTGTCTTTTGTTCATATGACAAAGGCAGGTCAAGGCACAGTCACCCAAGCAAAGGAACTTGAGATTCAAAAGCTATTGAATAAGTTGAACAAACCAGCCGTTAAGTCTCTAAAGGTATACAATTCATCTTCTTCCACTAGTTTTGATGATGACTCACATTTTAATTCAAATATATTGCTTCTGTGTACAAGATAACTTCAGCAAAATATATTTAGCCATTATTTTTAGGGAAGATTGATAGTAAGTCCCCCCTTGTGGTTAAAATTGTGCTGGAGGACTAAAGGATAAGGGTGCAAGCAGATAGGCTTGGAATTTTACGGCTATCTGCTCCCATTTGCTTGTAACCTAGCCCAATCTACTTGTACCTTGGTCCTTTGACCTTCCTTCACAGTTTCAATCCCAAGGAGAGAATTACTAGCAATTTTCCCTTATTTTTAACTTCTATAACATTTAAGTATTTCTCGTCCATGTTTACACCGTCACATTGGGGGTGAAGAAAGACAATTACTAGTTTCTTTTCAGAAGAAATTATTTTGGGGGTTTATAATTTATTATTGTTTTGGTTAACGTTTGATGTTATAAAAAAAACAGAGTCCTGATGGAGACATAATTGACTGTGTGCATATTTCGCATTAGCCAGCCTTTGATCATCCCAAGCTGAAAAATCACAAAATTCGGGTAAAATAGGTTACAATTTTGTTTTATTGGATTTTCTAACTAAACTCTGAGGCCGATTATTTCTATTCATTGAAGATGAGGCCAACATTTCTTCCAAAAGGAATAAGAAGTTATCCAGAATCCAAAACAATTGATCAAACGTGGCACCAAAGTGGAAGTTGTCCAGAAGGAACCATTCCAATAAGAACAACAAAAGATGACATAATGAGGGCAAGCACTTTCCAACGATTTGGGATGAAGGATAACAAGAGTCTCCCTAATTTGTCTAAGTCACTTTACTCTTCCACAAATATCCATGACGTACTTATAATATTGGAAATGTAAAATATATTTATTGTGTTGTGGAAATTAAATTAAAACCTTATTGTTTGATCCTTTCTAATTAATCAGGAAACCTTGTCTTGCGGGTAAGCATGGCAAAAAGGTTGTAACATCACACTAGGGTTTTATACAGCATACTCCCTCCTTCTCAATTTATTAGGTATTTTTTGGTAAAATTACACATACTAATAAAATATTTATTAAATATGGTTTAACAATTTTAATATTTCTATAAACTATCAAAAATATCCTTTATTAATAAGAGAGGGGGAGAAGGAAATTCATTTAAGGAGTAAAATAATGAGGGGTAATATTGGAATAATCATTATTAATGAAACCTTTTTTTTTCAAATTATTATATTTTGGGACATCAAATCATCTTCAAACATAGTTTATAAAATGGGACGACAAGAGTATTAAATATATAGTATACACTTCCCATGAAGAAGCTTGTTTGTGTGTTTTGCATGTTAAATATATTTTTCGTGTTTCTTTTATTATTTTGGTGCCCGTAGTATGCCACAATTGAAGTGGTGAAAGATAAATATTATGGAGCCAAGGCAACCTTAAACGTTTGGAAGACGAATATTCAAAAACGCAATGAATTCAGTCTGTCTCAAATTTGGGTGATGAATCAGGATGATGATGATAATGTGGAGAGCATTGAAGCTGGTTGGCAGGTATTCTATAGTTTAATTTCTTTCACATCACATGCACGCACGAGTACACTTCAAATATTTCTTCAAGAAATATTGCTGTATCTCTGTCTAACTATATATGGTAAACTGTTCCATGATCTGGGGAATTAGATCCAACCAATGCTATATGGGGATGATAGTCCAAGACTTTTTATATATTGGACAGTAAGTTCAAGTTTCTTATCAGCCCAATATCTTGTTTCTCCTAATCAGTCTGTAATTTTTTAAGGTGTATTTTTTTCCCTCATCCCACAGGTTGATTCATATGAATGTACTGGCTGTTATAATCTACTATGTTCTGGCTTTGTTCAAGTTTCCAATGCAGTGGCATTGGGAGGTGCCCTCCCACTATTATCTGTCTATAATGGCACTCAATATGGATTTTCTCTCCTTATTTGGAAGGTACTTATCTTTTTTTTCCCAAGAACATTGATACCTTGAAAAATAATACTTCCATGTGATGATATTGTTAGAAATGGGGAGCAGTTGTCTTGGAAATAGGAGAGAAAAAACGGGCGATAGGCAGCGGAATGACAATCTCACTTTAATTTATATATTAGTTAAGAACAGGGATTGATCGCTCTGAAACGGAGAGAGAACAAATGGAGGAGTGTCAAGTTATTCATTTTTCTATTATATTATATATTAGTTATTAAGCTCAACGCAAAAGAAAAAACAAATGGATGCTCAAATTATGGGTTATTTCACTTTACTATATTTATTAATTATTAAGTTCAACTTTATTAATATTCTCATATCGGCTCAAGTCAATTGTTAGGAATCAGGTGGCATAAAGATACCATATTTTAACCCAAAAATTCAAGGCTCAAGTTGATGATTCCTTCCATATTATTATATATTAATTATTAAATTAAATCACACTTTATTCTATGTGAGACTTCTTATATCAGTTCAAGTTTACTTACACTTAAACAACCTAACAAATATGAATCCAAACAATTTAAATTGCTATATGTAATTGAAGAGTAACAAAGATATAGTGGTAGCTCTAATTCAACACGAGGGCTTACCATTAATTAAGCTTTGATCAATATTTCTCTTAAATTGTACGTACTTGTATGTATACTATATTGTTAGAGATGATCCTAAACAAACATGCATGAAGATGGTGATGGTGATGATGACATCAACAACGAGCAGGATCAAGGAAGTGGAAACTGGTGGCTGCAATATGGAGGTAAAAATGCGGGATACTGACCAGCTTCTATGTTCGATGACCTGTCCGAGAGTGCAACAGTAATACAATGGGGTGGCGAAGTGATCAACAAGAAATCTAATGGCAGACACACAAGCACAGGAATGGGAAGTGGCTATTTCCCTCGTGTAGGGTTTGGGAGGGCTAGCTTCTTCATGGATATTTCCACAGTTAATAAAACTAATTATCTCGTCAAGCCTGATCACGTCAGAGCTTATGCCAGCAAACCTAAGTGCTATGATATTATGGAACTCAGCTATTCTAGTAGTGACTGGGGGGCCTACTTCTATTACGGTGGTCTAGGAAGAAACCCATATTGTCGATAATTTAAAATACAAATGAGAAAGATATTATAATATGCATGAGTACGAGGACTTAGAATAAAAGTCTAAAGATATCTATCTATGTTAAGCAAATAAAGGCATGCATTGTGTCTGTAGCCTTATCGATCACTAGTACTGTAAGGCCTCATGCATGGGATATATTGTATGCAAGCCCTGGCAAAATAAGACTGGCCGGAGAAAATTCAATTCTTTGTAGTGTTTTGTGTGACCATTGTATGATATAATGTTATCCGGTGTTTGATTATGTATGCATGTCGTATGCTTTTGCCTTGGATGGGATAAAAAGTATAAGAAGATAGGAACATGTGACCAAAAAAAAAACAGGCATGCATGGCAGTGTAATAACACTACAAATGAGTATAGCAATGAGTATTCAAGTGAATGTAATCAGCTAAAATATGCATCAGGGCCATGAGAGCAAGAGTAAATCAGAGTAATTCTAAGGAGGGAATTCAACCAGAACAAACATGCAAGAAGTAATAATTAAAAAGAAAGTAAATAAAAATTCCAAAAAAATATTGGGTTGCCTCCCAATAAGCACTAAATTTAATATCTTTAGCTAGACACAGCTACGAAGTCAAGCAAATGAGGAAGGATTTTTTTTTTTTGTTTAACACGGAAAAATAAAAGAAAAGGGGAAAATAACAAAGTTACATGCTTTCCTAGGCAATGATGCCAAAACTTGATCTCTCTCGCAAGTGTACAGGACCAATATAATAATAATTCTCAAAATATTCCAAGAGTTGAACCCAAATAAAAGCAATCACTTGATTTTTGTTTATAAGAGTGAATGGTTTTAAAATAGAATTAATGATTAATTAAATAACGCAAATAAAGGGAAATGATTAAAATGATGAACTAGCAAATCAAATGAGCACCAAGGATCAGGATTCCTCTATTGGGATGACTTACTTTAATTTAGTTAAATATTTTTTATTTATTTATAGTGACAATCGTTACTAAGATATCCTAATTACTTTCCAGTATATTAGAACATGTGAAGTAAAACAATAAAGGAAAAGGGAAAGGGTAAAGGTGCAAATATGCCCCCGAAGTATCACACGAGGGGCAAGTATCCTAAAGTAAGAAAAGGTGCAATGTTACCCCTAATCTATTAAAAAGAGAGCAATATTGCCCAATTTTAACAAACTCCAAATGTTGACAATTAAGTTGACTTATTATGCCAATGTGGCATACACATGTGGCATCTACCACTTTAGATTGAGACTTCGAACTTGCCCAATTCTTCATTCCAACTGTTGAAACCAACTAGGGAAAAATCTTATCTTCAACTTCATCACAACTACCCACAACTTGATCGCCTTCCTCGCCCCCATCCCCATCATTGTCATCGGCCTCCTCATCCTTATCTTCAAATTGCTGGTACCCATATTCCATTAGCGAGTCTATAACTAGCATTGAATTGGCTCCCACCTTACTCAAAAGGCACTAATTAGATCATCAAGCTATGATTTAAGTCACCACAAATCCAAAAATTCAATTATTTGTCTCTACCTCTCTAGATCTAAGTTAGTTATTCACCTCTTAATTCATTGAATAACCCACAGACATGTTATATATATAGAGGTCGTATATATAATAAGGCAAATAAAAAAAGAAAGATAAATATATAGGGTTAAAGGGCATTGTTGTCCCTCAACTATTTGCCTAGGAGCATTTGGTATCCAAAATTTTCACATTATCCAATTTCCCTCTTCAAATTTTGAAAGTAGTTTATTGAACATCCTGCCATTAAAAAAATTAACTTTGACCATTAATTGACTTTAAAATTGTAGGAAATGACCTCAAAAATTACAATAAAGGACTCATGAAATTACACATAAGTTATCCTATAAGAAAATTAATATCAAGTATTGCATATAAATAATATGGTACAAATGTCATTTCTTACCCATATAAAAAAAATAAGATTTTGACCAACCATTATTTTAGGGATTTGATCAATATTAATTTTCTTATAGGGTACTTATTTGAAAATTTTTATGGGTCCTTTTCTATAATTTTTAGGTCTTTTTGTAATTTTTTAGGTTAACTAATAGTCAAAGTTTACTTCTTTTTAATGGTAGGATGTTCAATACACCATTTTTAAAAGGTAAAGGGAAAAGTTGCATCATATAAAAGTTTAGGATGACATGTATTCCGTAGCGAATAGTTTAAAGGCAAAAATACCCTTTAACTCGTATAAATAGAACATAAATTCTCATAGATAAAAATTTATGTTCAACGGGAAAAATAAACAAAATGAAATTAAAAACTAAAATCCATCCCAGTCAGGTTGCCCCTAGCCTAGATGAGAGTTTAGAAGCAACTCAAAGAGTAGCTACACAATCTCAATGAAATACATAAACAGAGTAAGAGGTAATAAAGGGAAAAGGAAAACTTCCAAGAACTCCTCTGGACTCCATGCTTTGCCTCACCGCTATTAGATATTTAATTGGATGCCTTTAAGTAACCCTAGAAGCGGTTATTTATATTATTTTGTACTCAATATGGATTTGATATTTGAATTTACTTTTTATCTTTTCTCTTTATCTTTCTCGTGTGCGCATCATTATATTCCGACCCTTCGCTCTCTTTATTTTCTTCAATTCCTTGTGCAATCGCGTCTCGTCTCATATCTCTTCAATATATATATATATATATATTGACACATCTCCTTTAATCAATTTTATCAGCTCCGTCTCACTGTTCTTTCCTATTTTTTTATAATTTTCCTTCACAATTTCGAAAAAAAGAAAGATATGAATAAATTTTGTATCAAAATTCCTTTTTATCTTATAATTAAGTGATAAAAGGAAAATAGATAAAAATTAACCAAATAGGTATAAAATATTAATAAATTTAATCAAATATAATTCAAAATCTATACCTATTTATCTGTAAAATACACACTTATCAATGACTAAAAGGGATCAAGAGGAAAGACTTAAGGAAGGTGGAGATTAGAGTTTGTATACCCCATATAATTTTAATATCAAAGAAGGACGCAAGAAAAAAGATTTTGGGGGAAAAGACCAAAATACCCCTGTAATGTTTTAGAAGTCTTGATGCAATATAAACAACAAAGCATTCAGCTATTAACAAGTTACAAAAACTTATAAGCATGGTTTATTGTTTATAGTTGAATGATGACTTGTCAATTGCCCAATGCTTTGTTTTTTTTTTTAATTGGAGTAAGACTACTTGTAAAACTAATCCAAGCCTCTCAGTTTTTATAACTTATTCATAAATGAATATTCGTCTATTAATTATGTATGGTAATTTGTCAACAGCTCAATCCTTTGCTATACCGAAGCAAGACATGTAAAATTAAACTAGGCTTATCAGTTTTTATAACTTGTACATGAATGAATGTCTGCTTATTAATTATGTATGTTAACTTGCCATAAGCAAATCTTTGTTGTTTATATCGGAGCAAAACTTGTAAAACAAAATAAGGGTAATTAGGTCTTTACACCCAAAATTTTATTTTCAGATAGGTCCCAGGGATGTAGTGATTATTTCATATTTTTAGGATCCTTCTTTGATATTAAAACAATACAGGGTTCCTTAGATGATATTTTCCAAAAATCTATCTATTCACCTCATTATAACTATATTAGTTATGATTAACTTAGTTAGTGGGTACGGGTAAAAGTCTTGTTTGATTCAACCCCACCAAAAGCCAAGTTGTGTCTCCTAACGCTAATAATAAGTTTTCAAGCTCATCCACCATTCCAAGTGCTGCGATCTATTGACCATTCACAAAAGCTTCTATTGCACCACCCTCCTTGCCTCCTATTGCTTCCTTTTATAGATTTATTCCACACCACGTTGGACTCATTTCTTAGCATAATGGCACGACACATTCCTTTGTTTTTTTTTTTTTGTTTGTTTGTTGCTTACATGTATCCTCCTATTGGAGGCAATTCTATTCGAGGCACAGTCGGACATTAAATGTGAGCACATTCTCCTAATAGGATTCAAATATTGGTTTGTCATGTGAGGGACTAGCTCCTTCTGCTAGACCCAACTCCTGTTGATACACTCCTTTGTTTTTTATTAGCTCACTTATTCTTTTTTTCCCCTATTTTTCTTTCCTATTTAGTGGTTTTTTTTAATCTCCATAACTTTTTTACAGATATGCAAACATATAGTTCATATTTGTTCTTCATGTCATTTATATATATCTTTTCTTGATCAAAATATTTTAACTTTCAATTTAAATTCGCCTTTAAAAATCTTGAAAGAACATAAAACATTTTAATTTTTCTCTATGATATAATTTTTTTATAAATCTTTGATTATTTTTTTTAGTCTTCATAACATTTTTCTCAATATGTGGACAAATGTTTTACATATGTATTTTAATTCATTTTTCTCTATTTTTTTAAAATAAATTGCATTAAATTTTAGTTTCAATTCTTATAATCGTTTTATTTCAATAGATATAATTAAAAATTGTTAATTTACTAGCAGTCAGTTTGACACATTTCCATTAGTGAATCATAAACTATTGTCTCAACCAGTTTAATAATTAGTTTGATTTTTAAAAGCTTGCGATTGATAATAATAAGAGAACCTGATTTCAAGAAGTTATTGATGGATAAGTAAAATAGTGATTTTATGAATTTAATATTCTTAAATCTAACTTAAATAATCAATATCTAACTCGTTATTAAATACTTTTGGTTTGAATTTTAATTTTCTATAATAAATATAAATAAACTATAATTCTTTTGTAAATATAAATTTCAAGATGAATTACCAGAGAATAGTTGAATATAAACTTCTCATGTTTAATTTGGGTAATTTATATCTATGAAAAATTCAATTATTCTTGTTAAAACTCAATGCTTAAAAAATTTAATCATTCTTTCCTACGTCTATTTTTTGGTAACATATCCTTTATTATATTTAATTTTATCTAAGTTCTCATATTTCTTTTCCATTTTGTTTTGTTTACAGGTTTATATAAATAATCCATCTAAACTATAAAATTTCCTCAACTCTGTTTATGTATAAAACAGAAGGAGCAATGTACCGATTTCTTCCACCAAGACGAGTTGTCCAGTGGTGTCAAGTAGAGCAGACACAAGATAATATAATGATAAGAAATTTTTACTCGTGTGCTCGATCCATCAAGTAAATTGAAGAATCAAAGTTAAGAATGATGCCTTGGTGGACCAGTGAAAGTGAAAAAGCTAACAAAATATCCCAAAATATCTCTATGACTCTCATTTGTGTAACACATGAAGTTACCAGAATTCTTAGTCAGATTCCATACCTTTGGTCCAATCAAACCTTCTCTCATTGATCAATTTTTCAGCACTTGAAGATGTGGATCCTGAAGCAATTGCTGATAAACAGTTAATGCATTGTTCAGCAGGTAGAAAAATATTTTCTAGAAACAAAATGAGATGCACCTATCTCGTTTGTATATATTGTTGGAATCTGGAAGACTGCAAAGAAGACAGGGTACAAAGTAATCTCCTTCACGTACGTTTGGAATTGAATTGATCAATGAAGATACGGCGTTTTGTCGGAACAGAATATGCTATCTGGAATACAAAATGTTGATTCTCCTGTTTTACGCCATGAGGAAGATATACTAGTTATTCTCCTGCCAATATATATATATATATATATAGACAAGCAATCATACAATTTTCTTAGGTTATTTTCTCTCCTATGGTGTATAATGTATTTTATATAGTTATTTGACTGGATTTAATTCGAGCATTGTTGGGCTCAAGTAGGACTGGCAGCTCTCCCGAAATTTTTTTTGTATTCACATGAATTTGAACTAAGAGACCTCAAGTTTAAACATCCATATATAGCATCAACGCTTATTGGTATTACGTATAAGGTATGACTACATATAATATAATTACTTTACGTGTTAACTATTGATTTAAAAAGAATACATAAAAAGTTGCACAATTGTATAGATGCCTGACTATAAGGGGTATATCTTCTCCTTTATAAGATTTGGTCATGAAAAAGAAAAAGGCTTGCTGGAAGAGAGATAGGATAGGATCATCTTACATTTAAAATGGATACAGAAATTTGATGAAATGGATTTTAGTTATTTCATCTTTTCACAAAATTAATTTAAAGGTATCTTAATAACACTCCATGTGTATTTCAAAAGTAAATCAATTATTAAAATTCAATAATTTCCAAATTAAAAAAAGAAACCTATGAAAAACTAAAAATAGAATTTCAAGAGATGATTCAATGAACAATCACTCAATCTCACCTGACCTCCGCTATGTAACAGGCTAATACACTATTATATGACCCGTGTGCGCAAACAACAATTCATGGCTCAAAGGATAGTTAGATTGACAGGAACATCCTCAATATACTAGCACTTAATCTTGTTCAAAGTATAGCTGGGTACTAAATGTGAACGTCTCTTTAGAAAGGATTCCAACTTTTTTTCTGTGCAATTTTCATGTAATATGTATACAAGTGTACACAAGTTAGAGCTACTTTTAGATAAAGGTTAAGTGATATAATTAGTACTAACTTTATCAGTCAAAACTAATATTATTAAATATTGAGACAATATAATTAATATACATTAATTATATATATAATATTAATAACAAAGAACATTTCTTGTTCAACTAATTTCTATGTGGGTCCATTCTCATGGATTTGGATTCGGTGACTGTATTTAATACAGCATTGAGTGCCTATACCATTTGAGTCATTAAAATCCAAATCAACGATTCAGATAAATTCACTCATTCATTAATCTCAAGTGGAATATAAATTCATAACCATTGATCTAGATTTTAATGGTTCAGATGGTACAGGCATTTAATGCCTGTATTAAGTACAATCACTAAATCCAAATCCCATTCTCATCAAATACACATTTATTATTTTTAAGTTGTCCATAGAGGCCATTTGCATGAAAGATCTCCTCAATCAAAAGGATAATTATGTACTTTCGGAATAGCCTGAGTCTTCCTATAAATTGCTCTGCTTGATGAAGTCTTGAACATGCACTTCAGAATTTTCATTCAGGTTCATATCTCTCAGCTTCAATGGCGAACAAATTACGAAATGACAAGACTTGCGTGGCAAGTGTGGTGTTCTGCTTCTTGATGTTGTCTTTTGTTCACATGACAAAGGCAAGTCAAGCCAGAGTCACCCAAGCTAAGGAACTTGAGGTTCAAAAGCTTTTGAATAAGTTGAACAAACCAGCCGTTAAGTCTCTTAAGGTATACAATTCAGCTTCTTCCACTAGTTTAGTTTTGATGATGACTCACTTTTTTTTTTTTTTTCAAATATTGCTTCTGCTTACAAAATAAGTTCAGCACTATTCATTTAAGTATTTGATCTCATCCATGTTTGCAAAGTTGGGAGTGATGAAGAAATTAAACATGAGCATTTAGAGTGAAAAAAAAAAACACGAGCATAAATATTTATTTTATATGCACTGGGCGGTTGATATTATTTACTATATAAACTATAATTAATCAATCAACTGGTAGTATTAGAATTTTGTTCTAATTACAAATCAATGATTAATCAATTACACAAAAATATTTGTAAGGACTGACCATGCATTTATATATATAGTTGTGATTAATTCTTTACTAACTCAAAGTGAGATATCATACATCTAATATTTTATTTACTATTGTTTCTTTCATTGCTTTTCTTTTCCTTTTCATTTCTTCAATTTAAATTTTTTTCATTTGTTAGCCCGTGTTCTTCTGAGTTGCACTTTAGAAGAAATAATTTTTGGAGTTTATAATTTGTTATTGTTTTAGTTAACATTTGGTTTTTGAAAAAAATAGAGTCCTGATGGTGACACAATTGACTGCGTACATATATCGCATCAACCAGCTTTTGATCATCCCAAACTGAAAAATCACAAACTTCAGGTAAAATAGTTTACCATTTTGTTTTATTGGATTTTCTAACTCAATTCTGAGGCTAATCATTAATTTTCTATTCAATGAAGATGAGGCCAACATTTCTTCCGAAAGGAATAAAAAGTTTTCCAGAATCATCAAAGACAATTGATCAAATGTGGCACCAAAGTGGAAGTTGTCCTGAAGGAACCATTCCAATAAGAAGAACAACAAAAGATGACATCATGAGGGCAAGCTCTTTCCAAAGATTTGGGATGAAGGATAACATGAGCATCCCTAACTTGTCTGACTCACTTTACTCTTCGGCAAATAATCATGAGGTACTTATAATATTGGAAAATGTAAAATATATTTAATATGCTGTGCAAAACCTTGTTGTTGGAAGCAAACATCAAACTATAGGGATTTCTTCAACTACAACATATGAAATATGTATGTTATACAATTCCCATGAAGAAGCTTGTTTGTGTGTTTCAGATTGGCATATTAACTATATTCTTCTTGCTTCTTTGATTGTTTTGGTGTCCTAGTATGCCACTGCAGAAGTGGTGAAAGATATATATTATGGAGCCAAAGCATTCTTAAACGTTTGGAAGTCAAATGTTCAACAACGCAATGAACTCAGTCTCTCTCAAATTTGGGTGATGAATCAAGGTGATAATGATAATGTGCAGAGCATCGAAGCTGGTTGGCAGGTATTCTATAGTTTAATTTCTTTCACATCACAAGAACGTATGAGAACACTGCAAGTATTTCTTCAAGAAATAAATTGCTGTATCCCTATCTAACTCCTTGGTTAATTGTTCATTGATCTGGAAAACTAGATCCATCCAATGCTATATGGTGATGATAGACCAAGACTTTTTGCATATTGGACAGTGAGTTCAGCAAATATCTTATCAACCCAATTTCTTATTGTTTCTTCAGATCATTATCTTTGTTATTTTTTGACATTTTTTTGTCATCCAACAGAGTGATTCATATGAACGTACTGGGTGTTATAATCTACAATGCTCGGGCTTTGTTCAAGTTACCAATGCAGTAGTAATGGGAGGCACCATCGGACCATTATCTCTCTATGATAATACTCAATACGAATTCAATCTCCTTATTTGGAAGGTATTTGGAAGGATCATAGATCATAAAAAAAAAAAAAAAATACTTTCATGTGATATTTTTAGAAATGGGAAGTGATTGCCTGAAAATGAGTGATAGAATAAATGGGCAATAAGTAGCGGAATGACACATCCGACTTTATCTCTCTCTCTCTCTCTCTCACATGCACACACATTATTAGAAATGAAGAGTGATTGTCTGGAAAAAACTAAGAGAACAAATGGCGATGAGCAGCAGAATGACACTTCCCGCTTAATCTCTCTCTCTCACACATTGCTAGAAATGGGGAGACACACGCGACAAATAAGTCAATTGCTAAGAATTAAGAGTGACTGCTTGGAATAGGAGGAGAGAAAACAAATGGCCCATAAACAATAGAAAGATACCCATCTTAACCCAAAAAATTGAAGGGTCTAAGTTCATGAGTCATCTGTTTTATTATATATTAGTTATTAAATTCAATTTTATTCAATGTAAGACTTATTATCATATTTGTTAAAGTTTACTTACACTTAGACAACCTAACAAATGTAAATCAAAACAGCTCATGTGGCTAACAACATTACTCCAATATGTAATATGTAACTGAAGAGTGATAAAGAAATACTGGTAAATCTAATTCAACACAAGAGCCTACCACATTAAGCTCTGATCTCTTGAGTTCTACTTGCATATATGTACTGTATTGTGAGAGATGATCCTATAAACAAACATGATGATGATGATGAGCAGGATCGAGGAACCGGGAACTGGTGGCTACAATTTCAGAATGTATTTGTGGGATACTGGCCAGCTTTTATGTTTGAGAGCCTATCGGAGAGTGCAACAGTGATACAGTGGGGAGGTGAAGTGATCAACAGGAAATCTAATGGCAGACACACAAGTACAGAAATGGGAAGTGGCTATTTCCCACGTGTAGGGTTTGGGAGGGCAAGCTATTTTAGGGACCTTTCCACAGTGAATGAAAATAATTATCTCGTCATCCCTAATTACATTAGAGATTATGCCAGCAAACCCAGGTGCTACGATATAGTCCTCAACGGCTATTCTAGGGACTTCGGGGCACACTTCTTCTACGGTGGTCCCGGAAGAAACCCATACTGTCCAATTTAATCCAAATGATGAAGATATCATATATATGTATGAGAAATTTGAAAAGTCTAAAGCTATCTATCTATCATGTTAAGGAAATACTTAAGGCCTCATCAATGGGATATATTTTATGTAAGGCCTGGTAAAATAAGACTGGCCAGAGAAAATTTCAATGCGTTGTAGTGGTTTGTGTGGGCGTTATATGATCTCATGTTGTATAATATAACGTTATCCAGTGTTTGATAACTGTGCCATTATATAAAAAGTTAAATACAATGCTCTTTCCTGTTCTTTTTTAATTTATAAAATTATGCATGTTAATTATTTTTTAATCAAGGGAATTAGTTAAAATTAACAAATGTTAAAAAAATTTTACGACTTTTAAAAATAACCTTAATTAAATTAAATTTCACAACTTTGCACCGATCAGCATCCAAGTTTGATGATCAAAGAGTAACACAGATGGGGAAAAAAAATAAAGATGGATGTAACATATTATCTGGCTCAAATGATCTCAGCTTTTTTATGTCATTAAGAAACTAATAGACTAAAATTTGAACCATGAGAAGCAAAACAAACACAGATAGTAACACGTTTTAATGTTCAAATATTCTGAAGATATAATCAAAAGAGATGTGATATAATATAAAAGGAAGTCGAATTTTGGTAGAGATAGGGACCTCACTAATCATTTTTGCCAATGGTATCCTGATCAAAATAAAACAAAGTTTCATATATAGCAAGTTCAACAAGAACTTAGTTCAAGCAAACAAAGTCTTAAGCACCAACAAAAATGGTAAGTCTAAGGAAGATTTCAAAGTTCTCTCCAAACCTTCAAAATCATTTTAATTACGAACTGCATACAAGTCACGATGCAAGTGTAATCCAGAAAGAAGATTTTCAAAGTTCTCTGGTGCACACAAAATGTTTCACTACAAGTGTAGGGGTCAAAGTGCAATATAGTAGTGCGTCAAGGTCGATCCCACAAGGAATCAAGCAAAATAGCAATTAAACAATAAAGTTTTCATTTTTGTTCACATTAAGCAAAACCAATTAGAAGCGATTGATTAAGCAAAAATTAAAAAGTGAAATGAATAAAATGCAATAAGATTCCCAATCCAACAACCACAAATGTCCAATGCAACCTAGAGTCACTAATCCCTTGCTAGCTTCATAGATCTTGCTTTTTACCCAATTAATTAATTTTAATGCTAATTTTGTTAATCTAGAGTATTAATGGGTATAAGGGCCTTTCGAACCTCAAATAACCCTCTCTCAAATTAATTATGTTATTTCTAACAAAATTATTCAAGAGGTAACTTTAATTCCAACTCACTCTAATTTGATTATATGAGGCAATTAGGTATATTTCTATCCTAATTACAAATTAGATCATAATCTAATCTCATATTGCTCAATCTAAGCGTTCAAATGAGATTCCCCTTTGTCAAGGAAAAACCCCAACACCCAAATTCATATTTAATGATGGCCAAACATTAAATAGACAAATTAATGCAAGATTGAGCAACCAAAATTAATATTAAGCATAAACAATGGGTAAAAACAAGCTCTAATCCACCAACAAGTTTATAGTTACTTTAGGTCAAATGAATTCAGCCACTAATAGCTATTAAAACTGTATGAAGCAACAATATTCAGCAAAAGATACATTAAAATGTAGAGAAAAGGGAGAAGAAAGCTTTAGGAAGGATGATTTCTATCACAAATCGCAAGACCCAAGTGTTTCCCAAGCTTCTCCAACTCTTCCTCCACCTTAGAATTCTCCCTGGACGTGCAGCTGCTGGTTGAAGACGAACTGGAACAGAAATAAAAGCCAGAAACCCTTAAAACATGATTTTAAGTGAAGCTGTGCCTTTGCTAAAAACTGGTCTGATGTCGCGACATCCAAAATTGGTGCTGCAACATCACTGGGCAGAATTCAATTTCTTGTGGGCTTTAAAATTATCAGCTTTGGGCCCATAAGTTAGGCCTCCCTATATGAATAAAACTCAGATTTAATGCCATAATTGATCTACTAACTTCAACAATTGTCTTGGACTTTATGCACCTCAAATAATTATCCATTTAATCACATATTTGCTAATTAATTCCCCAAGATGACTTCCAATTGCATTAAAAACACTATTAAATTCATTAAAATATTGGAAGTCATCAAACCCCCATACTTGAACATTAGCTTGTCCTCAAGCGAAAGAAAATCACTATACAAAAAGGTCTAAAAAAATTGTGAATATTGCAAAGTCACATACAATCTAAACTTTCAAGAACTTAGTCTAACTAAAAATCTATCTCCTCTTCCAAAAATAAAGAGTAACAAAGCAATTAATTAAGCAAAAATAATCTTCAACAAGTTGTCCCTCACCAGTCAAGTGTTTGCACTCTGCGCTCAAGGTGTTTACAAGTTAGTATTTCACTCAATTTCATCTATTGCAAACCATCTACCATAAGCTTGTTTGTCATCTTAATCTCCACTTAATTATGCCAATGCACACTCAAATCAAAAGGACTTTTCAAAGGTTGTAATGTCAAGGTATGGTGATGAAAGAAAATTATTCAATGGGATAAAATTACGTACTCTAGTCAGTGTTAAGCCTCTTAAATGAGGAGCAAGAAAATTGAAGGGTAAGCCATAAGTCCATAACTATTTACAAGAGGTATTAGTGAGGATCAACACAATTTTTTTTTCACTTCATTTTCTTTCTTTTGGTATTATTCATCATCATTTTTTTTCTAAACTTTCAATCTTTTCTCTTCCTTTTTGCATCTTTTCTCCTTTTCATTTCTTTTTCTTTTGAACCACTATTGAAACCCCAACTAACTCTTAATTCCTTCATTTTCTTTCATGGGTGCAACACTTAGCACTTACTAAAGTAGTAAATAAGAATAAAAATGGATGAAGAGTAGATAAATCTTAGCAAAAGGGCTTATGATTTTTTTTTTAGAATAAGGCTAAGGCTCAAATAGGTGAAACAAATGATTTTATTAACTAGGATGGATGTTTGGCCAAACTAGCTAAGTAAATGAATGCCTTAATCATTTTTGTATATGCAAATGGCTATGATAAGTCTCAATAAAGATTCAAGACAAGTTCTAGAGATAGAATTGCAATAAATGTACTCCCTCTTGAAGGAAAATAATATGTAGGCTCAAATTTCTTACAAACTTTTTGGACAACCTATATTCAATTATTTGATCTTAATTCTTTGTCTATTTATTCAATTTTTAAGAAGGGAAGATTGATTCCTAATCAAACTTAATTCTTTTAAGTCTAAATTAGTCCAACCTCAACAAAATTCACCAAAAGACAAACAAAAATACCAAACCAAAAATATTTTAAAAAAAAATTATAAAGACTATTTAAAGAATATTTACCAATATGTACAATAACTCCTAACAAAACAAATAATAAAACTCAAGGACAAACAATGTAACAAAAGTGAACACAATCACTCTCTCCCCCACACTTAAACTACACATTGTCCCTAATGTGTAAAACGCATAAACATAGAGAGAAAGAGAGAGGGACACTAGTACTCCCCTGACAACTCAGGCTGACAGACTTATAAACTGAGAGACAGCAGACGACAGATATAGCCTGAGTGGGAGAAGATATTGCACCTGTGGCAAGATAACAAAGAGAAAGTGGATAAGTTCCAAAGTTAACTGCACAAAATATGTCAAGTTAGCATGACAAGTTAGTCAATACCAATTTACAGACCCAATAGTGAATGTAGAAGCAGTTATAGGAATCAAAATACAGCACCAAAAAGAGTGTCAACAAATAAAAAGAAATCCTAAAAACAAAAACAACAAGAAAAAGAAAACAAACTAAAAGGAGTCAAGAGTGGTGCCGAGTGTAATGGCCATCAGTAGCCACTAAGTGTCCGAACTAGGAGAAACACCCGGATCGGCTAAGACATGTAAAGGGAGATATTTGAGAGCATCCAGGATTTGTTTCTATTGAGCCAACACTTGTGTCAATTGCTCTCTTGTAGTCCGATTCTCCTCATGTAAAAGGGCAAATTATTGACGAACCCAAGTATCAAATGACTCCCCCTCATGATCCTCAAGCTTTACTTCTGCATTGTGCTCCTTAGGACCAACAGGATTACGAAAGGGGTCATACTTAATGGGAGCCTTAGGTAGGGTTTAAGGCTCAAATTCTTCAATAGGCACCCCAGCAGCTAAGAGAATATCTGTAATCATGTGAGGGAAGATAAGAGTAGTGGTTTCCCCTCCAAAGATGCAAGCCTTCAAAGATTCAAAAATCAAGGGTGCTAAGTCAACCGACTTGCCAATCATGATGCAATAGGTGAGGAGGGCTCTATCAGTGGTCATCCCAGTAGAGTTGGAACTAGGCATAATATTAGCAGATATAAAATGAAGCCAAAATACAGCCTCCCAAATTAAATGAGCCTTCTGAAATCCTTTTGGTGTAACTGCTTGACCCTTAGTTGTTAAACACCATGAAATAGCTTCCCAATCAATATTGCTTCAATCTTTTGGAAGAGCTTGATAATGGCACTGAGAAACTAGGGGTAAGGCAAAATGCTTCCTAATAACCTCAGAATTAATTACAACCTCTTTCCCTTGCACCCAATATTTTCCTTCTTCACATAAAGTGGCATTAGCATAAAATTCACAAACTAAAGCAAGCACAAATTGGTCAAACTGTTTAGTGAAGCATGTCCAACCTTGGGCAATAACTCTTGGATAAGCTGGTTCGTGAGTAGGGATTGATAAATATCGGTCTTTGTGAAAAGATTTAGACCCCACAGAAGTAATAAAAAGAGTAGATGCTTCCTCAACCTTGAATCTTGAAAAGTGGGCTCGACTCTTTCGCCCAGCCGTAGGTGCTTGTGGTGCCGAAGTAGAAACTTTAGATTTGGAGGAAGACACCTTTTGAGAAGTCCCTTTAGGTGCTAAGGTGACTTTTTCTTTCCCTTTTGTGGCAGTAGCATTTTTTAAAGTAGAAACCTTAGCCATACCTGAAATAAGAAGAATGAAACAGTTAAAAGAACAGTCAACAAAGCATAAATCACTCAACCACACCAAACAAAGTGTACAACCCATAAATGTGTCCATCAGTAGACATGGTAGCACAAAACAAGTAAATGAGCAGGCCTAGATCACAAAGAACGCAAGCCTAATATCACCAAATAATAATGCAACAGAACAAAGTAACAAAGCACACTAAAGCCAACAGTCAAGCCCAACAACTTAATTCTAGCATAAAGAAATCTCAATGAAACAACAGATTGCCAGCCAATATGAATTCTAGCAAATGCTCATTATACCCAAAGAAGAGAATCAAAGAATTTTGCAATATGCCAAGCAACTCAAGCACAAAAATACTGCCATTGAAAACCAGAAATTTAGCAACATCATATCATAATAGGTGTAGATAGGCAGGCAAAAAATGAGAACTCGCTTTAAGTTCATTAAACTTTAATAGTTGAGGTAAAAGCATGGCAGACCATAAAGAACAATGATCCATTTCCATAGAATCTCACAAATCTCACAACTAACAAGATGAAGAGCACAGATATGCAAAACAAAGAATAAAGAATGTAAATCGCAGTTCAGTGGCAGCCAATTGTAAGTTTTAAACGCATAGTCTAAATTAAAAGTGTAAAATGAGGGCGAAGCACAACTGAAAAACCAAGAATCAAGCTCAAAGAACAAAACAAAAACTACCGGCAGAATCACTTAATGAAAACGAAAATCAACTACAATCTACGGACAACAAGAAATGAACAGGAAAGTAAAAAAAATGTGCAGAACTTGAACAGAAACAGAGGTATGATAGAGCCTCACAAAGAAACGTACCTCCAGCCACAGTAGTGGATCTCACCTAATGAACAAGTTCTGCGATGAATTGAATGGATACGGAAATAACGCCCTGAACACACAGCAATGTGAGGGAAGAGAAACAGAGCAAAGATGCTGGAAGTAAAACAAGCTCGGACGCAGATGTAAAGGAAAAGAAAAAAACAGAGGCAGAGACGCTGGACTATGGGTTAGTGTTCTGCTGTTCCCAAACTGATGAAGACACGAGGAAAGAATGGAAGCTTACTCAGATGGCACGTGGGTGATGGTGCAAGAAAATTGTCGGTGAGGGAGAAGGAAAGAATGAGGAAATGAGGCAAGTTCAACACTAAGACAATGAGTAACTTGCAGCTGGGCCAACGAATGCCAGCGAGTTCGGACAGTGAGATGGTGAGTTACTGTTCACGAGAAAGAAACATAGGCTAATGCAGATGGTGAGACAAAGGCGACAGTGGGAGAGAAGCTCAATTCGAAGGAAGACAAGAAATTATGGCAACTCACAGTGTGGAATACGACGAGGATGGCGGCACAAAGTGAAGAAAAAAAATGCAGAAAGAAAAAAAATAAACGAAGATGGAGAAGCGAGATTTCTATATAAAAGAAGGAGAACTAGATACGGCAGCAGTGGACGATGAAGAATGGCAGTGACTAACAGCTGGAAAGATGAATGCCATAAAGCTGAAGAAGAAGAATCTACTATTGCTGCAGGAAGTTAAAGACGGCAATGGGAGATGGTCAAAGCAAGAAAGAGGAATAGGGTTTGAAAAGAGGAGGGAAAAATACAGCTGCACACACATTTTTTTAACAAAATAAAAAAATTATTAAATGAAAAAAATCAAATAAAAGGCACCAATTTTTTTCAATTGCAAGAAAATTAGATAAGAGAAAAAAAAAATACTGAAATCATTTTAACATTAAATTTTTTTAATATGGTAATTAATTAAAAACAACTAAAATCAGATTTTTTTTTTTTGTTAAATTTGAAACTTGAACTGAAAAAGAAAAAAAAATTGTAAGTTTTTTTTTAATTTTGAATTTTGAATTAAAAGAAATTAATATATATATATATATATATATTATTATTATTATTCACTGTAACAGTAGCTTCTTGCCAAACTTTGTCCGGAGACCAATAATGTCGCAGCATCATAACATTAAGCTGCAAGAGTGTTGCAGCATTATTACTCTCGGGACCCAACTTGGAGCTACCTGAATGCAAAAATGTTGCAGCATTCTCACAACACACTGAAGCATTGTCGCAGCATTATTGCTCTTGGGACCCAACCTAGAGCTACCCGAATGCAAAAATGTCGCAGCATTCATTTGTACACAAAATGAGGTGTCACAACATTTGCACACAAAATTTCACAGCTAGCAAAATCCTAACTCCTCACTATGAACAACCCAAATAATAACACACAAAACACAAAACCAAAACCAAAATCCTAAAAAAATTGCATTCAACCTCATCAAACACATCCAATCCACAATTATTCAACCACAAAATTCACAAAATTCAAAATAGATAATGAAAAATTTTGAGTTTAAAGATCTCCCTGAAAATAATTTGTCCATGCTCTACTTTGATTTGTGCTTTGCTCCAACTTGACTTGCTCAAACAACTCAACACCCCAAGATTGAACATCCTACAAGAAAATTAAAGTAATACACTATCAAAGAAAACAAAACCAAACAACACACAAAATAAAAATAAAAAGAACTAAGAAGAATTTCAAAATAAATCAAGGAAGTTGAGAGAAATGGTGAACAGTTGTCTGCCTGTCCACCTCACCCCCATGGTAATATTTCAGTCTTTGACCATTTACTCTAAATTGATCCCCGGACTTCTCATCCTTAACTTCCACAGCTCCATATGGTGCAACAGAAATCACCTTGAAAGGACCCGACCATCGAGATTTCAACTTCCCAGGAAACAACCTTAGTCTAGAATTGAAAAGAAGAACTAGTTGTCCTGGCTCAAAAGTTCGACGCAAGATATGTTGTATAACTTGGCATTTTCAAAAGCATGGTATCTAAACTCTTCTAACTCATTCAATTGCAAAATCCTTAAGGCACCAGCTTGCTTAGAATCCATATTCAGTTGTTTAATTGCCCACCAAGCTTTATGTTCCAACTCAAGAGGCAAGTGGCAAGCTTTACCAAATACCAAGCGATAAGGGGACATCCCAATTAGAGTCCGGAAAGTAGTACGATATGCCCAAAGAGCGTCATCTAGCTTGTTCAACCAATCTTTTCTAGTAGGTCTCACTGTCTTTTCAAGTATCTGCTTGATCTCTCTATTGATTAGCTCATAAAGGCCATTGGTTTGTGGATGATAAGCAAAAGACATTCGATGGTGAACTCCATATTTTGACAAGAGCTTTGAATTGCATGTTGTTGAAATGAGTTCCCTCATCAGTGATAATAGCTCTAGGAGTGCTAAAACTTGTAAAGATGTTCTTCTTCAAGAACCGGATCACAGTATTGACATCATTGGATTGACAAGCCATAGCTTCCACCCACTTGCTTACATACTCCACAGCAACAAGTATATATTGATTGCCACTTGAAGAAGGAAATGGCCCCATGAAATCCATCCCCCATACATCAAACAATTCCACTTATAAAATTCCAAATTGAGGCATCTCATGTCGCCTTGAAATATTACCTGTCCTTTGACATCTATCACACTTAGTAACAAAATGATGAGCACCTTTAAATAAAGAAGGCCAATAAAATCCAGATTCAAGAACTTTAGATGAGGTCCTTTACCCACCATAATGCCCCCATATGAAGATGCATGGCACGCATGTAAAATGGCTTCTTGTTCTATTTCAGGAACACATTTTCTAATGATCAAATCAGCATATCTTTTGAACAAAAATGGTTCTTCCCAAATGTAAAAGTTAACATCATGCAAGAATTTCTTCTTTTGAAAAGGCTTCAAATCAGGAGGTAACACTCTACATGTAAGATAATTCACAATATCCACATACCATGGCAAATCACATGTGCTAACAGTAAACAAATGCTCATCAGGAAGATTTTCAACAATCAATATATTAGTATCACAACTAGAATTATGCACAAGTCTAGACAAGTGATCAGCAACTTGATTTTCAGTTCCTTCCTATCAACAATTTTCATATCAAATTCTTGCAATAACAAAACCCATCTAATGAGCCTAGGTTTAGATTCCTTTTTAGTCAAAAGATATCTAATAGCAGCATGATCAGTGTGAACTACAACCTTAGCACCCATTAGATAAACTCTAAACTTCTCAAAAGCAAAAACAATAGCAAGCATTTCTTTTTCAGTAGTTGAGTAATTTACCTGTGCTCCAGTAAAGTCTTGCTTGCATAGTAGATAGGATGAAAAATCTTCTCATGCCTTTGTCCAAGAACAGCTCCAACAGCATAGTCACTTGCATCACACATAACTTTAAATGGTAGTAACCAATTAGGAGCCACAATGATGGAAGCTGAAATTAATCGACTCTTAAGCTCTTCAAAAGCCTTTGTACAATCTTCATTGAAATTGAAACGAGTATCTTTTTCAAGTAGGTGAGATAAAGGCTTTGAAATTTTAGAGAAATCCTTGATAAACCAACAATAGAAGCCGGCATGCCCTAAGAAACTTCTCACAGCCTTTACATTAGTGGGCGGTGGTAACTGCTCAATGATTGAAGTCTTAGCCCGATCCACCTCAAGACCTTTCTTGGAGACTTTATGACCCAGAACAATACCTTCAATTACCATAAAATGGCATTTTTCCCAATTAAGCACTAGATTAGTCTCCTCACATCTTTTTAAGACTCTTGCCAAATTTGACAAACAATTCTCAAAAGATTCTCCAAAAACAAAGAAGTCATCCATGAACACCTCCATAATTTCTTCAATCATCTTAGAAAAGATGCTCATCATGCACCTTTAAAAGGTGGCAGGTGCATTGTAAAGACCAAATGGCATCCTCCTAAAGGCAAATGTGCCATAAGGATATGTGAAGGTAGTTTTCTCTTGGTCTTCAGGAGCTATAGCAATCTGATTATAACCCGAATAACCATCTGAGAAGAAAAAGAACTCCTTACTAGCCAATCTATCTAGTATTTAGTCAATGAAAGAAAGAGGAAAGTTATCATTTCTTGTGCCATCATTTAACTTCCTATAATCCATACAAATGCGCCATCCAGTGACTGTTCGGGTCGGAATTAACTCATTTTGTTCATTGCTAACTACTGTCATTCCTCCTTTCTTAGGAACACATTATACCGGGCCAACCCATGCACTATCAGAAATGGGATAGATTATCCCAGCATCTAACTACTTGAGTATTTCCTTCTTGACCACTTCTTTCATCACAGGGTTCAATCTTCTCTGATTTTGAACAGACTTCTTATGATCTTCCTCTAAAAAAATCTTGTGCATCACAATAGATGGACTTATACCTTTGATGTCTGCAATTGTCCACCCTAAAGCTTGCTTGTGATCTTGAATAACCCTTAGTAACCTCTCTTTTTGATCATCAGACAAAGCAGAAGAGATGATAATAGGCAATGTCTCAGATTCACCCAAATAAGCATAAGTAAGGTGAAGTGGCAAAGGTTTAAGCTCCAATGTTTGTGCTTTCTCAATTGAGGGTTTTAAGGATAGAGCTTGTCTAGATTCTAGCTCCAAAGATTCAAATACCCTTTTGGAATTGAGATGGTGAGAAGATGCTTGAAGAAACTTCTTACATTCAATAGTATCATCATTTTCAACCACATCATTTCCCAATAATATAGCATGTAATAAGTCTTTCACAGTAAAGGACTCCAAAGTCTCTCGAACTACCTCATCTAGAATATCTACTCTAGAATAAATTTTAGATTCTCCAGGATACTTCATTGCTTTGTGCATATTGAAGCTAACTTCTTTATCATTCACTCTAAGTTTGATCTCTCCTCTCTCAACATCAATTAGAGCTCGTGCTATAGCTAAAAATTGTCTACCCAAAATAAGTGGGAGATCTCTATCTTCATCACAATCCAAGACAATGAAATCAATGGGGAAAATAAATTTATCATCCTTGACCAAAACATCCTCAATTTTACCTTTAGGAAAAGCCAAACTTCTATCAGCTAATTGAAGAGTCACTAAAGTGGGACTAGCTTCACCAAGTTGCAATTTTCTAAACATAGAAAGTGGCATCAAGTTGATACTTGAGCCTAAATCACATAACGCCCCACCTTGAAATTTGTCTCCAATCACACAAGGAATTGAGAAGCTACCTAGATCATGGCATTTGGGAGGTAGCTTGTTCAAGAGAATAGCACTACACTCTTCAGTAAGCACAACAGTTTCACACTCACCCAATCTTTGCTTCTTGCTTAACATCTCTTTCAAGAATTTAGCATATTAAGGCGTTTGTTCTAAAGCTTCAATGAGAGGAATGTTGATGTGTAATTGCTTGAAAATTCCCAAGAATTTCTTGTATTGCTCCTCTAATGTCTTCTTTTGAAATCTTTGAGGGAATGGTAAGGGTGGTATCCAAGTAAGATGATCACTAGTCAATCCCTCTTTCTTAGATGTTTTCACTACCTCTTTTAAAGACTCCTTCTCAATGTCATCTTCAACAATCACAATTTTAGCTTTAGGAGGCGTAGAAGATACCTCTCGCTCAATTTGTTCAACTTCTAGCTTAGGTGTAAACTCAGGTGTAGGAGAGGAAATTCTGTTAATTGCTTTCCACTCCTTAAGGTAATTACCTTGCACTCCTCATTTCCTTCTCTACGAGGATTAGTCTCTGTATTACTTGGCAATCCTCCTTTATGAAGTGCAGTCATAGCAGTTGCAATTTGCCCCATTTGAACCTCAAGATTCTTAAGGGATGAATTAACTCTAGCATTAATGGCCGCTTGTTCTTGATTACTCTTAATCTGAGAACTCATCAACTTAGCCATCATATCTTCTAAGTCAACTTTCAGCTCTTGAATAGGAATAGACCGCTTTTCAACTTGAGGAAAACCTGAAGGAATGATTAGCTTTACACCAGAAGATGAAGCTTGATTAAGGGTTGCACTATTTCTCCAAGAAAAGTTAGGATTCTGATGCCACCCAGGATTGTAAGTGTTTGAAAATGGGTTGACTTGATTATTACCATAATAATTCCTAGCATAATTAACCGTCTCAATTTATTGAGATAGATGGCACTGGTCAGTCACATGTACATCTCCACAATAATCACACTGAGCATATATGGCATGAGCTCCCACAGGCCCACCGTTGTTCCGATCAACATGTTCTTCTAAGCGATCAAATCTTTTACTCAGAGTTTGAAGCATAACTACTACTTGAGAAGATGAAGAGTTATCAGCAACTCTTTCTAGTGGTCTCCCAGGTCTTCTGTCATTGTTGTTCTGGATGTAATCAGCAGTAAGATCATCTAAACAATTCCAAACATAGTTTACCAATTGCTTTGTAATCCCACCATTAGTGACTGAATTCATTTCAGACTTGGATTCTGGTGTCAACCGGCTACTAAAGACTTGAATCAAAACCCATTTCTCTTGATTATGCCCTGGACTTTGTTTCACTAATTTCTTGAACCTTTCCCAAGCTTCATACAAATGTTCACCAAACTGTTGATTAAATTGAGAATGTTGGATTTAGAATCAACTATCTTGTTGTGTGGGAAAAATCTAGATCTGAACTTGCTTTCCATTTCTTCCCATGATAAGACACTACCTTCTTCCAAATTGTTGAGCTAATCCTTAGCTTTCCCTTATAGAGAGTAAGGGAAGATTCGAAGACGGATGACATCTTGAGGAACTCCATTTTGCTTGAATGAGTCACAAATGTCAATGAAGTTAACCAAGTGTCTATTAGCATCCTCATCTTGATTTCCTGTAAATTGCCCATTCATCTCAATCATCTTAAGCATGGTTTGCTTAATCTCAAAGTTATTAGCTTAGAAGTCAGCGACTTTAATCCCAGACTAATATCCTCTAACTTGTCTACCCAAGAAATTAGTGAACATAGCCTATCATTCTCATCCTCAGCCATCTCTTCGTTTGTAACCTTTTCACTAATTGGAGGTTGAGTGTGAGGTAAACTAGCTTCCAAGATTTCTTTGAGACTCCTTGTTCTCACAGGTGTTTTTTTTGACTTAGCCCTGCGTGGCATGCAAAATAGTCCTGCAAGAACAAGAAAAGATCAAGGATCGAATTGAACAAAATAAAAGAAAACAAAATAACAAAATAAATGCCTAAGCGAAAACTACTCAGGATCTTCTAATGCTAATCACCAATTGCCTAGATTCCCTGGCAACGGCACCAAAAACTTAGTGCACACAAAATGTTTCACCGCAAGTGTAAGGGTCAAAGTGTAATATAGTAGTGCGTCAAGGTCGATCCCACAAGGAATCAAGCAAAATAGCAAT